TATACATATAATCTATACACTTTTACATAATTATGTATATCTATACACTTTTATATATTAATCTATATATTATAATAATGTAATCATAGAATCTAATAATCTATAGATACAATGTATTGTTACATTGTTAATAGATGTTTTACAATTTTATTTTTGCTCTTCTTGCCTTTTGTCCACATGGAAACTGCCATTAGGCAACAATTCATGGGGGGAGGCTCTAGAAAGCTATAATCTCGTTTTTTATTAATATATTATTATTATAAAGTTATAAATATATATATGAATATATAATAATATACATATTAATGGATCTTAACAAATAATGGATTAATAACAAAAAGGAAAGAATAGCATTCTGGAGCCTCTCCCCTTGAAGTGTTGCCTAATGGCAGTTATAATCAATAGGTTATATATATTGTTACTTTGTTAATATGTGTAAAACAATCCTATTTTTGCCTCCGCTTACATCTTGCCCCATGGAAACTGCCATTAGGCAACCTTTTATGGGGGGGAGGCTATAGAATGCTATTCTTTCCTTTTTATTATTAATATGTACATATATATATATATATATATATATATATATATATATATAATATATACATACATTACATGATAATGGATCTTAAAAATTAATGGATTAATAACAAAAAGGAAAGAATAGCATTCTAGAGCCCCCCCTTGGAGTGTTGCCCCATGGCAGTTATAATTATAAACTATAGATTCTATGTATTATTATATTGTTAATAGGTGTATTACAACCCTATTTTTGCCTTTGCTTACCTCTTGCCTCTTGTCCCCATGGAAATGGCTTTTAGGCAACAATTCAAGGGGGGAGGCTCTAGAAAGCTACACTCACCTTAAGTTCCTTTAACTAGGAAAACTCTCAGTTCAACATTTTCAAGTATTTTCTGTCATTTTCAACAAATTTGTCCTGTTTCAAATATTAATCTACTTATTATAATTTAGTCCTTTATGCAAGATCTTAGTCTTATGCTTATTTATCTATTATCTTAGTATCGCTCTGCTTTCTACAGAATTAAATAGAAACTTTTAGTATTATTAGAAGCTTTCAATGTATTTGTACATATATATACATGTCATTTTTGTACAAATTGTGATAATAAAGCGTAACATAATATTATAACTAGATAAACAACTTTTTGTAACGAAGAATTATAATAACACATCAAACTACACACAGTTTTTGATTTCTACACACTGGATTTTCTTTTTTACATGAATTGCATTTTTTTAATACTGATCATTACAATCAATCAGTCAATACAATCAATTTTGCATGCTGTCTTAAGAAAACATTGACGTTTGAAGTCATTATAGATCGTTTGACACTGAAAGTGTATGTGTGTGTGAAAACATTAACGTCTTTTTAGGGAACTGAAAGTATATCATATTTCATTTCAATAATCTACTTTTTGAGATCTATTAAATGGTATATAAAATGCCTAAATGCATTAGAATGTTACCTATTGGCAAATTGCCAAAATGTATCACAATTACTTTTCGTATTTCTAGTTTTTCCTACAGATAATTATTGTTTTCAAATATACATTATGATGATATTCATATGTAATTTGCAGCATTCTAAGCAGTATAGTCCTGAGGAGCTTCTGAGTTTTAGTATTGCATTTTACACATGCGTGAAGTTAGAAAGCAATTCATTTTGGAACTATCTTCAGATTTAATTTACCGATAGAAGGAAAGGTGTATCACAAACCTCGCACATAAAAGGTTTTTCACCTGGTAGAGTTGTTCTGAAGTTTTCTGGCGAGCAAGTTCGGGTGATCAGCTAGGCGATTTCTATATTTGTGTGAGTAAGCGATTATTTCATCCTTAACTGTGCTAGTCCCTGTGTCTTTGTGTATTAACCAATTTGGAACATACTTTGGTGCTTTCAAAATTTCTTTTAATAACTCGTTTTGAAATCTTTGAATTATTAAAGCGTTTGAGTTGGAAGTTGATCCCCATAGCTGTATGCCGTATGTCCAAATTGGTTTAATGATGGCTTTATAGAGGTAAATTTTATTATGTGTGTCAAGTTTTGATTTTTGTCCGAGGAGCCAATAATATCTTCTATACTCGGGTATTTACATGTTTTATTGCAGTATTTACATATGAAGTCTTCAGATTTTTTGTGGCAAACAATGTGTTTGTTTAGGAGATAAGTATTTGCGAAGAGTTTACCACAAATTGCTCATCTTTATCTATTGTTAATTTGGGTTTCACCAGTATTTCCAAAATTGATGTTATGCCATCTCTCAGAATCGTCCAGCATTATAAAGCAACATGTGGTAACACCATATATATTGGTGTCAATGTGGTGCCTTATTGGCAACACTGTTTCCGCCAAAGAGGAGTAAGGTAATAGTCAGTCTCATTTCAACTATGATTGCAATTAGTCTCAATCATATTGTAAATGTTGCCTTTGTTCAATATTGTTTAAAAACACAACTTTTTTGACTAAAAAAAACTCTATTACAAACCTTGCACATAAGAGGTTTTTTATGGGTATAGAGGTATGAGTCTTTAAGAGTGATTGTAGATGACTCGGGTATTTATATGTTTTATTGCAGTTTTTACTTATGAAGTCTTCAGATTTTTTGTGGCAAACAATGTGTTTGTTTAGGAGATAAGTATTTGCGAAGAGTTTACCACAAATTGCTCATCTTTATCTATTGTTAATTTGGGTTTCAACAGTGTTTCTAAATTGATATTATGCCATCTCTCAGAATCGTCCAGTACATGTGGTAATACCAAAAGGATTGGTAGCACTGTGGTGCCTTATTGGCAACACTGTTTCCGCCAAAGAGGAACGAGGTAATAGTCAGTCTCAGGTCAACTAGAATAACAATGAGTCTCAATTATATTTTAAATTTTGCCTAATTCTTATAAATATATATTCAACACGTGTGTACGTTTTAAAGTTTCTTTATTCAGAAATTATCATCTGCAAATGTGTTGTGCCATGCACAGACTTCATTGTCTGATATATTTTCTGATTCTTTGCTTGTTTTTTTGGCCTTTTTTGCATTATAGTCACATACAATAAATATAAATTTGAAATTCAATTGTTTGATAATTTTACAGTTTCTGAGAAAATCACACATAATATATGACTTCAAAATTAAGTAAGTAACAATTATATTAAATTGAACGGGAACTTTGGGCACATCTTGTATTACAATTGTTTCTTTATTATACTCCAATTTTTTATTATGAGTTCTCTTCATGTGACCCTGTGATGTATATGCAACTTTTTTTAAATAAGTTCGTCTTGCCTGTTTATATAACAAGTTGCTTAAAAGACCTGAAAATAAAGGTAAGACTTATTGTAACACATTAACATATATAAATCAATCTATATGTGATCAATATGATTTATTATATTTTATATTTACATTTGTATAGTAATAATAGTATTTGAATTACGTACCATAACTGGTACTTAGTCAGATGCACATGCACCAATATAAAATTATATTAAAAAAAGTTATATTCGTATTTATATACAATCATATAATAATTCCTGCATTATATTTCAATTTGTTTCTATAAACTTTCTTCCTCAATTCAGGATCATGAGAAATGAATCATATTCCTTTATTTGAACTAAATTATTTATTTATTTGATATAATTCGTACATACTGTATCTCAGTCAGACAATTGTTCTGGTATGATAGATCACAGCAATTATAACAAAAATAAATCTAAATTTTATGTAACAGACTTGCATTAAGACATCAATATATTTTTACTTATTACTATTATATACACAGAACGCTTGCGTACATACATACATGCTCATACTTAATTGTAATTAATATTTTAACAGAACAGAAGTAATATAGTATTTAAAATAAGGAATTTTATCTCATTTATTTCATTTATCTTTTATGTAATTTTTCAATTTAATTTTGAAATTGTTTTGGTCCGTCATTGTCTTTAGTTCCTCCAGTAGTTTATTGTAAAGGCTGTTTGCACTTCTTAGAAGACTTGCAAGTCCTTTACTAGTTTTTGCATGTTTCATGTGAAAGTTTTGGTTTTGTCTCGTTTGATGGCCGTGTATATCCTGGTTTGTCTCTATTGTGGTGCAAGCTTTGATTCTGTTATTTTTTATTTTGAATATTAGTAAACATTTTTCTATTTCTATTGTTTTGTGTAGTGGTATGTTCTTTGTCTTTTGTAGAAGTTCTTTTCTCAGGGTGAGGTAGGGATAATTGTAAGTTGATTTTATTGCTTTATTTATCATTCTTTGTAGTGTCTTTATATTTTTATTTGTTGTTTGACTCCAAATCGTGATGCCGTACGTCATAATCGGCATTATATGAGATTTTAATATTAGTTCTTTGTTCTTAATTCCAAGATGTCGTATTCTTCTTATGGCTCCAGAAAGTGCTCAAATTTTTTGTTTGATTTTTTTCAATTTGGTCACTCCATTCTAGTTTCTGGTTTATAATCATACCCAAATATTTAGGTTTTTCTATTTATTTTATTTCAGTATCGTTGATTAATATTTTTATATTGCATTTTTTTAAATTTTGTTATGTCGGAAAAATATATAATTAGTTTTATCTGTATTTATAGTGAGTTTATTTTCTGTTAGCCATGTTGTATATTTCTTTAAGTTATCATTGATTTTTTTTCCTAGTTTCTTCAAATCTTTATCAGCATATATAATCATGGTGTCATCTGTGTACACTATGTATCTACCTTCTAAATTTTTGTCCTTTAAGTTGTTAATATATACTAAGTATAATAGTGGACCTAGGACTGTTCCCTGTGGTACTCCGGATTTGACCATTTTTTTTTATAGCTGAAGCAATTTCCTATTTTGGTCCTTACTTCTCTTTCAGATAAGAAATTAGCAATTGTTGTATTCATATTCAAATTTCTATAAATACAATCTATCACTCTTCTTCTTTGTTACAAGATTGTACAAAATAAATAATATTTCATGGTTGTGCACCAATCGTTGTTTGGTTATGTCATCTCTTGTATAACAATAGTTCCTTTATTATACTCCAATTTTTTATTATGAATTTTCTTCATGTGTTTCCTCAAAGACACCAAATGTTTGAATTCTTTATCACACAATTCACATTTATATTCGGGTTCTTCAGAATGTACGAACATGTGATGTTTTAGTGAATCCACCTTTGTAAAAGTTTTATCACAGACGTCACATTTATACGGCCGATCTTCCTCTAAATGTAGCCTCATGTGTTCTTCTAAAGAAACTAAATCTTTAAATACTTTATAGCATATTTCACATTTTTGACGATCTGCTTCTAAATGAATAGCCATATGTCTTTTTAAATACAGATTGCGTTTGAATACTTTATTGCAAGTTAGACATTCGAATATAGGTTCTATCCCGTGAGCTTCTAATTTATGTGATCTTAAATAACCAGGCCTTGGAAATGTTTCATTGCATAATTCACACTTATAAGGCCATTCTTTAGCATGAACAAACACGTGTTTATTTAAATAATCCATGCTTTTAAAAGCCTTACCACATAGCTCGCATTTAAAAAGTCCTTCTTCCAAATGTGTGTTTTCATGCTTCCTTAGAGCACTTTCTGCAATAAACTGTTTATCACAAGTACCACATTTGTGTTTGTATTCCCCCGTGTGCGAAGGCATATGTTGCACCAGGTTACCTTTGATGGCAAAGCCTTTTCCACAGAATTCACATGAAAAAGGCTTTTCACCCGTGTGTACTCTTTCGTGTGTTTTTAATTGATTGGTGGTTTTGAATTGCTTGTCACAGTACGAGCATTTGTAACATTTGGGTCTTGTATGGTTTCTACGATGATTTCCTAAATATTTCTTTTTGGCAAAAGACTTACCACAAATGTCACAGGAAAGGGAGTTGTTTTTGGTTTTGTTTTGGCTCGGGTCTTGTTGGATTTTCTCATCTATCGTTACCTCGCAATTCATAAGAGATTCTAAACATGTTTCATCACAATCTGATTCATCCTCTTCTTGTTTAATAGAAACATCTTGGAGTTGATTACCTTCTATTGTCTCCATTTTAACTTGTAAGTGATCTTCTAGAACAATCAACTCTTCAGATGTTATTGATAATATTTTATTCGTGAGTAAAACGCATTTGCAAGAAAAAATAATGAAAAGTAAATAAATATTTCATTTTAATTGAGTACATATCTGTCAACCTAAAAAATCAGATGTTGTGCCATCGGGTAACTCAATACAACGAAATTGCATTGTGGCAACACTAATAGAACTTACCGCCATTTTTGAATGTAGAAAGAGATTTTTATAGTAAAATTTAATTAAGAGTAGCAAATATGTTAAAAATAATATTGAAATATAACAAGAATACTTTTATATCATTTTTTCATGTTTTAGATTTGTTTTTGTTATAATTGCTGTGATCTCTCATACCAGAACAATTGTCTGACTGAGATACAGTATGTACGAATTATATCAAATAAATAAATAAATCATTAAAAAAAAACTTTTATATATAGTAATAATTTGTATTATACATTCTAGTAGTATTTTAACATTAAATTGATAAAATGTTTATACATCTTTATATATATGTATATATATATACATAGCTGGGCATTAACTCGTTAATCCGTTAATCGTTAATTAACGAAGTTAACATTTTGATTAACGGATTAACTTTTAAGTTAACTTTTAAAAATGTTAACGGACACGTTAACTTCCGTTAAAATGCGAGAAGTCCGTTAATCGTTAATCCAATGCCTACTATTTACCGCACGGCACAGCTTTAGCCAATGCCTTATTAAACGGCATAGAGAAAAGATTTGGACTACTCCTGAATGATGAACAGTGCCAACTTGCCGCGGCATTTCACCCAAAGTTTCGGTTAATGTGGCTGGAAACATATGACAGCAGTAGAGAGGATGCAGTAAGAAAATGCACAGAAAAAAAGGTAGAAGATGCCTTATGGCAAGAAGCAGCGAAAAATTCGAAGGACAGAGATAGTTTAAGTGGCGGAGGGAGCAATGCGAGTAACAACGATGATGACGAGAAGGAAGACTTTTTCAATTCTGTCACTCAGTCTATAGAAAAACCAAAGAGCTACGAACTGTTTAAAGAACTAGCTGTAAGTGGAATTCTGTCTTAAGGCAATTAAGGCGTTGTGCCTTAAGGCAAATTGCTGGTACTTTCCGTACCTAAAATTATTATTTTTTTAAAAACGATTAACATTTTTGAAAAAAATTTACTTCGAAAAATAAGATTTTTGAGAAACTATAAATTGGATAAAAAATTACTTTTTTTTGAAAAAAAAAATGTTTTCTTTATTTTGACATATTTTGGAAGATCTGAACTTTTTTTCAAAGCAATTTTACTGCTTTAGGACTGCATAGAGACAAAATATGAAGCGCGTAAGCGCCGCGTCGCTGTCTAAAGGATAAACATTGGTACGGAACCCATAGGAATGTAAATAAAATTTATACTTATTGTTAAAATCTCTATAAAATATCTGATAATTTGATGTGCATATGTCTAATGATCATTTTGACCGCCAAATTGCATTTTTTTTTTACTTTTTTTGTCCATATCTCCGAAACCGCTAGACCTACCTTCATGAAAATTTTATCGATTCCTCATCTTGTCAATACAAGTGAAATGTTTTTTGAATTATTCAAATCGGACGCTCCGTTCTCTTAAAAACTGAGTTACCGTTTTTGGCTCAATTTTGCCCCATATCTTCGGAACGGCTAGACCTGCATTTGCCAAAAACTAATCAGCACGTCTTCTTATCAATACGAATCGAATGTTTTTTGAATTATTCAAATCGGTTGATCCGTGTTCCTGAAATCGTCGACGAAAATTTGTATCCGAATACACATACATACACACACACACACACATACATCCATTTTTTCTAAGGTATGCCAAAATATTCAGAAACCTTTGAAACGTCGAGAAATGCAAAAATTTTCATTTTCGATTTTTTTGCGATTACTATAACTTGCCCTACGGGAAGTTAAAAAAACTCTTTCCCTTTATTTAGAATAAAATTCTTGTAAAAACAATATGCAATCATAAAAACGGAAAGTTGACCAATAGCGTTATCACGGTATGTGATAATTGTGCCATTTTCCTTATACACACGGAAGTGTATAAAACACCGTTTTCGGCACTTTTTGTCCCGTATCTTCGGAACGGCTAGACCTGCCTTCGCCAAAAACTAATCAGCACGTCTCCTTATCAATACAAATCAAATGTTTTTTGAGTTATTCAAATCGGTTGATCCGTGTTCCCGAAATCGTCGACGAAAATTTGTATCCGCACATACATACACACACGTACATACATACATACATACCAACACACACACACACACACATACATCCATTTTTTCTAAGGTATGCCAAAATTCTCTGTTCAGGAACCTTTGAAACGTAAAGATATATAAAAATTTTCATTTTCGATTTTTTTGCGATTACTATAACTTGCCCTACGGGAAGTTAATAAGTTTTTTAAGTTCACTAACGCAACGATATAAAAATGTAATTTTACACATATTAACGGATTAACGATTAACGTTAACTTGCGTTAATTCTTCCGAAATGTAACGCTTTAACGTTTAACGAAGTTAACTTTTTTTGTAGCGGATTAACGATTAACGAAGTTAACTATTTGATTAACGGTGCCCAGCTATGTATATATATATATATATATATGATATTCAGTTTTCAGGGCAATACATCAATTAAAAAATTTGTATGACTTTAAAACATTTTTATTTATTCCATACGTTTCGACACATTGTTTTGTGTCATCTTCAGTGGACTCTAGATTGAAAGAACAGATAGAAATTATTAAATAAAACTAATATATAAGAAGTGATATGGTATGAACTTACATGCAATTGAATTAATCCTAATTATTTCATATTATAAATGTTCACAATGCACAATCTTAATTATTTCATATTATAAATGTTCACAATGAACAATCCTAATTATTTCATATTATAAATGTTCACAGTGCACTAAAAAACTAATCCTTGTCATTTTAAGTTGAACAATATATAAATTTTTGACTGAGATTTTTATGAATTTGTGAAGAACATCGACATGAGTCAATCACAGATAGATGGGATGAGATTTCTTGCCACACCACCCTTTCCCTCCATTGGTTTCGAGAGTCCATTAAATTCATAGTCGCGAATACTTATTTTGAATTCAATTCACAATTTTATACACAAATTTTTGGTACCCCCATGGGATCGCCTATCTCACCTGCTCTTGCTGAACTCTCTCTACAACATCTTGAAAAAAATGTTTTTAAGCTTTCTAATGTTGAATTTTTCCTTTACTACAGATACGTTGATGATATAATTACTTGCATTCCTAAAAATAACTTTGATTCTTTACTAAAAAATTTTAACTCCTTTAATAAACACCTAACCTTTACCTTCGAAAAAGAACACAATAGGTCAATTAGCTTTTTAGATGTAAATATCATAAAAACTACAGATAATAAAATTATTACTAACTGGTACCAGAAACCAACGTGGTCTGGCAGATATCTCAATTTCCATTCTTATCATCCCACTAACATGAAAATCGGTACCATTATCAATTTAGTTGATCATGCTATTCTCTTGTCAGATAAAAAATTTTGGCCTTTTAACCTATCTCTAATCCACAGAACCCTATTAAATAATTGCTATCCCCCACACCTTATAAAATCAGTAATTAACAACAGACTTTCCGTCCTTAACACAAAACATAATCATCTTTCCCTCGTGTCCCAGAAAAAAGAAGAAAATAAGGTTGTTGGCACTATTTGTCTCCCTTACATTAAAAATCTCTTTCCTATTTGGAAAAAACTATTTGAATTCGCGGATTTGCGTTTAGTTTGCAATATTGATCAGACTCTCAACTTTTTATTTTCGAACTTAAAATCACCGACAAGTTTAGATCGTATTTCTAACATCGTATATAAAATTGACTGTACAAATTGTGAGGCCACTTATATTGGCGAAACTGGACAACATCTTAAAAAACGTCTTAGACAACATTATAACAATTCCAAAAATAAAAATCAAAATCAAACAATGATAACTGATCACATACAAAATTTCAATCATACTTTCAATTTTGATGTGGCCACAATTTTATATCACGAATCGAATACATCTCAGAGACGCTTTTCAGAATCTTGTCTGATACACCTTTACAAAAATAGTTTAAACAAAAGATTGGATACTTCCTCACTGTGCGAGAATTACCAAGTAGTCTTAAACAATGTCTCGAAATTCATACCTTTAAAATAGTTACCTATCATGATCGACGTTTAATTATATTAATTTTATTGCCAATTTTTCTTTTTCTTTTTCTTTTAATTTTGATCTCAATTTTACTAATTATGTCCACCCTCACAATTGTCATGTTTTTTTATATTTCACTATATGTACCCTCTCGCGTTGTCAAATCTTAAATTCTTTGGTCAGTTCGTTTGCCTTGTACCTCAGCCCTCAACATGTGGTTCGCACATTGACGTACATTCAGTAGGCACCCATACATCGGAGCACAGAAATGTATGGCGCGATGTTCTTCACAAATTCATAAAAATCTCAGTCAAAAATTTATATATTGTTCAACTTAAAATGACAAGGATTAGTTTTTTAGTGCACTGTGAACATTTATAATATGAAATAATTAGGATTGTTCATTGTGAACATTTATAATATGAAATAATTAAGATTGTGCATTGTGAACATTTATAATATGAAATAATTAGGATTAATTCAATTGCATGTAAGTTCATACCATATCACTTCTTATATATTAGTTTTATTTAATAATTTCTATCTGTTCTTTCAATCTAGAGTCCACTGAAGATGACACAAAACAATGTGTCGAAACGTATGGAATAAATAAAAATGTTTTAAAGTCATACAAATTTTTTAATTGATGTATTGCCCTGAAAACTGAATATCACATATTTCAACATCAAAATTATATAAAAAATTTAATATATATATATATATATATACATATATATTAATTTGGAAATATGAACAAACAACACTCTTTTTTGCACTAATTTATTATATAATAATTTTCACAAACGTTTCGAGACTAGGTTTGTCC